TGTGGATTAAAAAGTGCAAAGAATGCCCCTCCTTTATACACAGAAGTTTGCTCTAGAAGTTAGACTTTAAAATACTTAAAACATTTTTTATTCAATTTTAATTTGTGTAAAATTATTTTTAATCTTCTACATCTTACGCATAATAGTAAAAGTTAAAAAGTTATTTGTTTAGCTAATTTTATTGATTGCAATATTATGTAAAATATTAAAAATATTATTATATATTAATTGACAATTATATTTTTAGATCCTACTACACTTATGCAATCAAAAAGTAGCTCTGTATTTTCAAACAAAAACTTTGGTCTATCTTTAGAAGGAGAAAATGATTTTACTCATCTTGAATCATTGGTTGTTAAAGACCATGCTGGGTCAATCAGTGATGTCCAGGATGATTCAGATGATGACCCAAACTGGGAAAATAAATGTAAAATTAACAGTGCTTAAATTACTTATTATAACTAAAATTTTGAAAAACTGAAATGTTCATTTACAATATTTCAATTTCTGTCTGAAATTGTAGTAATTTGTAATTACATTTTATAGTTAGCGGTGATGATTCATCTTTAGAAAGTAATAATATTCAACATGAAACAAATGTTGTATTATTTTCCCCTAACACACAAACCTGGAAAGTTAATGCATTAAATGAAACAGAATGTACTAAATTAGAATTAAATAATCAAGGTCCATTTAAGTCACCCGGAAAATGGAATATATCTAGTGTTAGCAATGATAAAATAAAATTAGCGAATGTGACAAGAGCCTTGGATTTAGATGAAAATAGTAAAATTGTGATTGATGGTGAATATTATATCCATAATTCAATAACTATATTTAAAAAAAAAAAAACAATAATTTAATTTATATTGTATATTATACTATTTTTGTTATAGAATCAACTTCAGATGTAGGTACATCAAAATCTACAAATATGTCATTTAATGTTAATGCTAATACGTTCATGTCTTCTCATGGTAATGCAAAATTAAACAAACATAATTAAATAATTTTATTTTTATTATTTAGAATATTACTTAAAAATAAATTATATCCTACTGTGCTCTTAAATAATAATTGTTGCTTACAATATACTAATCATTTTTCTTTTACATAGTATTTATAAGTTCATAATACAATTACTGTTTGATAATATACCTCAATCTATTATATTCTTGTGGCGTAGATATAATGATGTAGATTAGTTGTAGGCATCTATATTTAAAAAATAATTACTGCATACCTTAAAATAATATAACCAACAGAATACTAATTTAATTATTTTAAAACTGTTTTATTTTTAGATTTTCAAAAATTTGTATTTACTTCTTTAACACATTTTAAGTATGACATTAGTGCTATGATGCACATTATAAAAGACACAAATGAGAAGGTTCAAGCACTCATATCTCAATCAAATGGCAATCATTTTGATTCAGCGCTATCTCTAAAACAAAGTAGTTTAGATTTGAATATGTTTCCTATAACTACTGAAAACCAACTTATGGATATAGAAAAAAAGATTGATGATGATATTAATTTTAAAAATGAACTGGTAATATTATGAAACATATTTACGTAATTGTTATATCTATGGCTGGCTTATTTATTCAATTTTATTAACTTATATATTTCAATATTTATATTATATCAGGTATGTAAGTTATCATTGTTAGTTGATAATAACAATTTAAACAACAGTGTGCGAAGAATAATTTCACGTTTGTGTGATGATATATTGCTTTTGAACTACTCATTAACTGGATTTAAACATAATAAGACATTTAAAAATCTGAATGTTTATCGTGTACTTATTGGTAAGGATATTATATATTTTTACATAATATACCACTGTTATAACTCTCCTTACCTATATACCTTTATTCCCACAATATTCTTGTAATGAATACCATTAAAATATAAGTGGCATAAACATGATTTATTGAGAGGAACAAGTAAAAGTATTTCTTATAATCAAGCTAAAAAAATGGAATATTTGGTTTTTTTAAACACTAATTTATTTAATTTTACTTTTTAGTATTATTATTATTATTTTTTAATTTAATGTACCAAGTATTATATTGGTATGTTTAATTAAGTAAATTCTATATTGTTTATTAATTTTAGCAGTTTTATAGTATTATATATCACCATAATAAATTATAGCATCTAGTCTACTATTAATTAAAAAAAAAACTTGAAGAAAGAATTTTATTGTTAACTTTTTTGAATGCTCTACACAGATGTTTTTATAACTTCATAATGTTAAATAGCCATCACCAATTCTCATACATTTTCTACCTTTCTGATTTATAAAAATCCTATATTCTATATTTTAAATATATTAACTTGTTTAAACTGTTCTTTTTTGGTGGATATCAGCTTCTCTTAATTTTTTTATTTAGTTTTCTCTATTTTGTCTTTTTGCTTTTTAATATTATCTGGTTAATCATTTAAAATTAATTATTTGTTCAAGATGCTGTGAGAATGAACGTACAATTTAGTAAAATTCCAGATCAAAAAATTGATGTTCCATTACGAGTTTGGTTGGATCATTCAAAATTCAGAATAAGAGACAAGAAAGAAAAAAATAATAACACATTAAATAATTGTTCTTAAGCTGTATATTAAATAAATGTTTTAATATAAATTAACTTTATAAGCTTTTTT